GCTAATATGTTTTTCAAGTGTTTTACGAAGAAATCATAATTGAAGTTGATGAATTAAATGAGGTGAAAGACATGGAAAACAGAGACAAGGAGTCAATATCACTTTGAGTAAGAGAAGTTGAAGTACGAGGAGTCTATATCAGCTTGATGCAAAAGTGGAAGTAAATAAAAGTGACAAGTATCAAATGAGCTGTTGAACTTTTAGAGCTACAGATATGGGCTTCATTGCCTGAGTTTGAATCACATGAATACAGAAGGCTATGAGGCGGCAACGGCCCATCAAACACTGTCTGAGCTCAGGGCACTACCAAGTGCGCATATGAGCCCGGTGGAATGATCATAACGTACTTACAAGTGAAAGCACATCGGCTTCTTCGGACAATCAACCAAAAAGCAAGTTTAGGAACTTGAGTGTAACACTTTCTACCTCCTTGGCAAGATCTGGGGTGCTGTTGAGTGTCTGGTGTTCGTAGAGAAACTGAATATTGTTGGGGTTGGTACGCTTAACACATTACCTTTCACGGTGGACTAGTGCTGTTCCATACAGTCCATCTCATAGTCGTCATGAACACGTGAGGTGCTTTGAATATCCTTGACATGGCCGGCGTCAGTGGATTATGTCACTTACACATGTAGTTGCGAAGGACAGGGTGGAGGGGATACAACACTGATGGATGTGATTGGACCGAGCATTGCGTCGTCGCAGGATGCCTGACCTACAGCAAAGGGAGGGTTGGGTTGCATCGAATCCGGTGCGGAAGACCAAAAAAAGAGTGTGGTTAGTTAGGATGGTAATTGAGGGGGTCGGGACGACACTAACTTAATGGAAGGACTGTGATTTGATTGTTGGAAGGGAAGGGGGCAGGTTGATGCCTGTGGTGTGAGCTTGATGGCATTATATTTACAACCTGATGCTGTTTCATCAGAACTGAAATCTGAGACTTAACAAAATCAGAGGAAGGCTTGAGTGAAATGAAGCAGTTTTAAGATGCTGCTGAGCGGGTGAAACTGGTGGGAAGGCCGTAGCAGCAACTTGATCCAGGTGAGTAGGTCCAAACATCAGTGTTGTGCGGGCAAGTCTTGGTGAATTGGCGTACGGACCATTGAGATTTGAACTTGGTGTTTAGCCAGGTTTCAAAGATCACATGGCAAGGTAGTCAATTAACGGTCTACAGGGTAAGGAATAAGAATGTCACTGAGCGACAAACAATTGAGGATAAGACAATCATTTTTCTGGAGGAGTGGATCCCTTTAAGGTAGTTCATTTGACGGCAATCTTCAAAAGCCGAGATCTTCAACAGCAGTGCAACAGTGAACTTGTTTGGGAGCCACACAAATTGCCTCCCTTAGCGATGCGCGGCAACAAGGGCCTCATGCCAAGCTTCACTTGCGTGGCTTCTTTCGCAAGCTGTGATTCCAGAGATGTGCCTTGATTCACCATCAATAGCGCCAGACGGATGTGCAATTGATGATACGCAACCCGCCTTCACGTCGGCATCCGCAGATTGAGGATGTATGTCACTATTGTCATTCCTCAAAGGCAAAAGGAACAAAATCAACATTCATTACAATTTGTGCCTTCACCGCCAACATATTTACCTCGGATTACAAAATCCGAGGTATCCTCGGATGCAAAACCTCGGACAGAAGCTTCCCGAGGTTTTGATCCGAGGTTATTTCCAGGGCAAAAAAATACCTCGGGCGAAAACCTCGGACAAGGTCTGTCCAAGGATTTGCCTCCGATGATGCCTCGGATTTCTCAACCCGAGGCATCTATGCTGGCAGTGCTTATGAATTGGAAGACTTTGGCCTGCATGCTCAAGATGTTTCTGCAAATGACAAGGACCGGCATTTAGCAGCAGTATAAAATCATGCCGCTCTAAATAGAATAACACCATAGAAAAATTGCGGTTTCGGAGTGAACAAATTGCTTCACGGTCTATTTGTTTGTTAACGATTGACGGTAAATACACAGCCTTCCTCAACAATCTTCGTATCAAACTGATCAATCATCTACAGCACTTGAGATAATTTGGACTGCGTGTGAAAGGGGAGCGGTCATTTGAAACACTCGATTTGGCTGTGACATATTCAGCTAGAAAAGTACCAACAGATTTGCAATTCTGGATCTCCCTTGAAGGCATTTTCCTGCAATTCCTGGTTAAGTGGCAAACATTTACGTTCAGGGTGATTGGGGCACAATGCTAATGTGTTAGTATATTGGGGTAAGTTGTCAATTTCACGAGTAAATATGACATTGATGCATCATAGAAACGCACATATCAACTAAAAAATGCTAAATGAACTCCTGCAAGTATCATCAGGTAAGACCTTGGAAATAGGAGATGGACTGATAGTTTCAGAATTTGGTGGTGATGTATTTTAAAGCGTCATCTAGCTAAACTTAATAGCAAAATCATCAAGCGTGAATGTCATTTGCAAAGTACCAAATGGGCTGACCATTTCTAATTGTTTGAACACGCCAGATACGTAAAGCGGATAAGTGGTGGCAGTAGTGGATCGCAACAGCAGCAAGCGATGAAAAATCAGCTAAGGGAATATTAGTGAAATCATCAAATTGATGAATTAATGTGTTCGTAGCTTCGGAAGTTGTGGAAAGGATTTGGCAAGATAAGTGTGATCATTCAGTAGGCAAGGTTTGGACTACTCCGAGCGTATGTGTCTTTGACTGTTGGGTACTAAGAGGTCAGTTGCTTGGTAAATCCTGAAGAACATCCAGTAAGGCAAATGTAAATTATATGTAGGCAAGAATAGAGCTGCTGTGTCTTCGGCTGCTGGCTCCTAAAAGCGATATAACTTGGTAGATCCTGCAGAACATCCAGTAGGCAAATGTGATTACTATCAAGTTTCAGGCAAGGATGGAGCTGCCTGAAGTTTAATTTGATTCTATTGTTCAGGTTTAACTTGAATAATCTATTTCTTTTTGTTGAAAGATGCTGAGTGTTTGATGGAATAAAGTTATTCCACAGTAGATTTCAAAAAGGGCAAAAATTATAAAAAGAACACATTTTACAAATTTTATATCTTGGACTACCACAGGCAACACCTGTATGTGACAAGCGCAGGCTGTAGATTGAGGAAAATTTGTAGTCACACCAGGAAGGCTTTAGCTCTGCTTGAACATAATTGTCCATAACCTTGCACATATTCTTAAGTGACAGGAGGGCCCCCAAAATGAGCAAAACAATCTGATGACTGGTTTATGTTTGCTGGCCGCAGCCACACCACACCGTTCATAATCCACCTCACATTATTTTGGTATCCTCTTTCACCCAAATTCAGCTATATTTGACTCTTGCTTTTGAATTAGGGTCAGGGTTGAGGGTAGGTGTTTTTTTTGTTTTTGCGATAGACTAACAAGCCTTTATCATAACCCTCATGTACCATGAGCACTCAAAAAATTAACATTCAAGTAGAAACATCACAAAGGGAATCAAGAGGCATAAATTGACATAGATTTGTAACCACATTGCTGTTGTGGACTCAAGTATTTGAATCTTCCAGTAGCTTGCAGAATGAACTGTGCTAAGTATGGTTAAACTGCAGGTGTCTCCATGAGATCTGAAGCTGAATTCATGTTTGTTTGGATTTTCTGTACTCTTGTTGGGAAAAATTGATTCCACTGACAATCACTTTTGTTGTTTAATCATTCTTCTGCTCAACCCACATACTCAAAACAAAGCCCCACTCAAGCTCATCAGGTGGAATTGTCTTTTTGATCAGCCATAATAATTGCAGGATATATTTAAACCAAACTCAAATTTTTGCCGAGGTTGAAATCTGCAAGTTCCTACAAACCACCTTTGATGTGTTTTTTGAGGTGCTTGTCTCAAGGTTTAAGGGCAAAGCCAAAGAGTGTAAGAATCTTGTATTCAACGCGCTGGTGAATCTACTAGGGATTCTTTTGATTAACGTTTCACAAGCTTTAAGCCCCACAGATCAACATTTTGCCTGTACAATCACCTTGACTCATCTCATTCAATCTCGACAATCTCTCCTCTCTAGTCCAACTATACAGCGAACAGCCCCTTTGGTTGACCATCAAGGTTTTGGGTCATCTTCTGAAGTTTATGACAGGTCCAAAGAACTCCCAAGCTTTCAAACTCACCAGAATCTTTGAACTAACTTTCACTCTGATACTGCAACTCTGGAACCTCTACTAATTCAAAGCCAGTTCCAACAAATGAAGCATAAATGTATTTGCCTGTCACCCCGGGAAAGGGGGCGACACTACAGCGTCATGGGAGCGCTTTGCACCGGGGCCAGAGCTTCACATGGAGTGTCAACAGGTGCCGCACTCAGTCTGTCTGAAGAGTTGGCATGCCGCACAACTACGTATCACCAGTTGCCGCTCACCAGCTTTGTGATCTTGCTTCTCACAGTTCCCATTTGGATTTGTTTGACCAGCTTATTTATATAAAATCCAACTTCACCATTCTTAGATCATTTGATTTTTCACTGGCTTCACTGTGGTTCTATTTTTTCATCTTCCACTCCAAAATTTGTTATCTCCCTAACTGTTTCGTGCTCCTACTCAAGGACAATGCTAACCTTTCAATTCTTGGATATTAATGTCTCTATCTCTCTCTTGGGGTTCATCAACCTAGCAACACTACGTTGATGACCACTCACAAATGTAAAACCATCTTTGAGGTAAATCCTCAGTGCTCTCAAGGGGTTCAGACATAGAATATGTTCAACTGCATGGCCGGGAATAACAACATTTGGTTACACTACAGGTGCAAATGAGATGATGAGAACAAGAAAGAACTCACATTCATCAATTTTCAATTGAGCTGAAAGTACATCAACAATGTAAGTCTTTCTTGTGAGTTAGAGGTTCCTCAGAGGTTGGAGGAACTTCGGTTTCACTTTTCATGTACTGCTCAACACCTTTGTAACCAAGCCACAATCCATTGTAGAATCAATTGAATTACTTCAGAGATTGGATCTTACCCTTTACCTGTCTTTGATCTATGGCTAAGATGGATTCTTTCCATGATTGCTCTTGTTGTGAGTGCGATTGCGCTTGGTTTCATTGTGATGATTGGGCTTGTTCCTTCCACTGTGATGATTGGTCTTGTTCTTTTCATTGTGTTCAGTCCTGTGTTCACTCTGATTGGTCTCATTTTGATGATTGGGCTTGTTTTTATTGTGATTGGTCTTGTATTCATAATGTGCAGACGGGTTGACACAAATTAAAAGAAGTGAGTGTGAGTTGTTCAAACAATGATACATTAGTGTGGCTTGAATAGAAGCGCTGCACCATTTTCAGTGGAATTGGTGTTCAATGGTGATGATGAAAATAACTCTTTTTTGCTGAACATCTCTATCTGCTCTCAGGCATCAATGCAGGGCCGAACCGTAGAGGTCATGTGAGTGTCTGAATAGTGATCTCATACGCTCTGGTATGTTAGTATTTGAGGCACAGTTTTGCTCTGATATGTTCGACTGCACCTAATAGGTGGTGAGTCTTGTTTTTTTAGTCAGTGATTTCCTTTGTTTGCCACATTGTGATGGGGTAGATGTGTTCAAAATTCCCCGCCAAGATACCACTGAATTTTGTGGTGGCAAGCCATGACAGGTGAATTACCAGCTTCAAGAATCTTGTCCTCCAAGGCTCAAATGGTGGCCATGTTGTTCTGCATGTCCCACACGGTAATTTTGATTCAGGATAGTTGAAGCATCTCAACAGGGGGGAAATTGGCTCTTAACATTGTTAAACTTTACAGTGACATGACGGAAAAATTTTTTAGAGCTCAAACTCTTGC